AAAAACTCGCCCCCCCCCCCCCCCCCCAAGGAGGATGGCCACGCTACAATCCCCTCTTCATTCTCCTCTCAGGATCTTGGGCACACACTCACACGTGTCTAGTGTGAGTTTTAAACCACTGGGTCTGGGACTCGAACTACAGTCAACTATGTGGGATTCCAGTGACGTAACCATCATGCCATCTGCTGATTTCTGTTTTTTACATTTTGTTACAGATATTTCATAAAAGATGTAAATACAGAGGATAATATAATGGAAACCTATCCATCATCTCATGCTATATAATCCTAAATGTTTACCATATTTGTTTCATTTATTTTTTTTTCTTAAATAATAAAGCATTATAGATAAATTTAAAACCCCTTCCTAACCTTTTTCTTCCCTCCTCTTCCCTTCCTCAAAATTTTGGTAGTTAGGGAACCAGCAGTTAGCATAATGGGTATGTCGCTGGACTCCCACGTAGTCGACCGCGGTTCGTTTCCCGGACCCGGCGCTTTAAAACTCACGCCGGGCGCGTGTGCGTGCGTGCCCAAGATCCCGAGAGGAGAACGGAGGAGAAGGGATTGAAGCGAACGGAGGAGAAGGGATTGCAGCGTGACCATCCCCCCTGGGGGGTGATTTCTCACTTTCTGTTTCTATGTCTCTCTCTGTCTGTCTGGCGAGCGCACGCGCCCTATAGTGAAAATCTCTCCCTCCCCCCCAAAAAAATTTTGGTAGTTATGACCATGCATATTTTATAATGTTGGATATGAGTGGGTATGCATACATAACAGTATTATATAATGCTGTCAAAAGTGTACGTGGTACATATAATTCTACAACTTATTTTTATCTCAATTTTTTTGTTTTTGAGGGTTCATGTTGATAAATGTACACATCTATTTTTACTGGGGTATAATATTTCACTATGTAAATATTGGGCAGTGGATTCGTGCATGTTCTTGATGGATACTTGCTTCCATTGTTTACACAGTTAGTGGGCATTGCTGAAGGGGAAACTTTCTAGCCCATCATCTCTTACATGCACAAGGACTTCTCTACAGCCTATATCCTTGTCAGTGAAATTGCTAAAAGACAGGGTATGAACCTACAAGTTGTTTTGTTTTGAATTTCTGGAAAATTTAAACTTAGGAAAGATATTCCAAAAGGACAGACTAAAATCTTTTCAATTATCCCTGCTTACTTTTCTGTTTTTTTTCCCTTTGTTCATAATAGAGCTTGTGCGTGTGCATGCAAGAGTGTGTGAGAGAGAAAGAGATGAGCACCTGCACGGGTCTGGTCATGCTGTAGTCCTCTGCTTCGAGTCTTCTAGCCTGTCAGATCTTGGGCACTCACCTGTGCCCAGCTTGTTTCAGGTTGACTACTCCAGGGATTCAAACCGTGTTGCCACGTGGGATCCTGCTTCTCTTAAACTATGTATGACCACTGTACCTCGGAGCTGACCCCTTGATTACTTTTCACTGAGAATTAAGAGTCTGATTTAGTTAGAAATCTTTAAGAACAGTTACCATCTTCCTTTTGCCTCACCCCAACTTGTGCTGAAATGAAGGGTGGGACTTAGATCAGTGGAAAGGACTGCTTAAAGCCCAGCAATTGTCGTTGTCCACAGTCCCATCTTTTATCCAGCCCAATATTTAGGGTTTCAGGTTCCCGCCATTGAGAGGTAGAGTTGTCCTGCTTCCTGGAGGTTAGGTATCTTACTACTTCCAGCTGTGCCAATAGAGTTCTCAACCCTCTGACTTTCTTCTCTAGGTGTTTGCTGAGAGCAAGGATGAGATTGCTTTAGTTCTGTTTGGTACAGACGGCACTAATAACACCCTTGCTGATGAGGACCAGTATCAGAACATCACAGTGCACAGACACCTGATGCTACCAGATTTTGATTTGCTGGAGGACGTTGAAAGCAAAATCCAACCAGGTTCTCAACAAAGTGACTTCCTGGATGCCCTGATCATGAGTATGGATTTGATTCAATGCAAAACTGCAGGAAAGAAGTTTGAGAAGAGACA